AGAAGATCCAGCCAATAAAGGCAAGATCGGCAAGATTAGAGGATGATCCGACCGATGAAGGCAATAAAGATTGTTGATGCGATCTGGCGACCAAAGACAAGATTGCTGGCGATTCTTCACCAAAGGCAAGATCGTTGAGGCTCCACATATTAAAGGTTTTACAGCAAATGTTTTAACTGCGTACAATTCTCGGTTTGACCCACTATCTGCGCCGCAGGCTCCTAATATGCGATAGCGCAAACCGTGCGGCGTAGATGGCGAGAACAGAGACACAATCGATATAAATCGGCTCAGTATAAACAATTAACCGAACGCCACAAAGAACAACGGCTTTTGCCTTGCAGCATTTGGCACAGAAGCATGAATGGACAAATACCGTTTTCTCGAATGAGAAGGTATTTTCGATGGATGAATCTAGGCGTGTTACATTATGGAAAACGAGAGGAACAACCTACTCAGAAAATATGGAAACCTCAATTTCCACATAGACGCGAGGCATTGGCGCAACATGTTCTCATCGTATGGGAAGATTTCCACGCAAGGCACGAGTTATTCCAAAAAGTTGCATCTATGCCCCAAAGATTAAATGTAGTAATAGAGAATCATATGGAAGTGTCACACGGTATTAATACTATGTGACCTTCCATGGATGCCCTGGTAAAAAAATATCAGAATTTTTCACATTATAATCAGAATTTCTATAAAAATTTTTAGTTTTTTTTTAGAATACTCAGAAATTTTCAGATTTTTTATACGAATTAAACAACTCAGACAAAATAAGGATAAAATATTTTTCGCTAATATATCCTTGCAGAAATCTGAATAAATATAAGAATATCTGTGCAATTTGTCAGAAATTTTCATATATACGGATATTGAAATATTCTAAAAATCTTCAATTATTTCTGAAAGTATCTGAGAAATATCATATACTTTTTCAGAATTTTTTACAAGTCCCAATTATTGTAAAATTTCTGAGAAAATATGAAAAGTTTTTTCACCAAGATGATGTATGAATAAATGAATAATATGTTTGACATTGAATGATTGTAACGTGAACAACTCTCGTTAATGAATGAAGGAATGAAAATCTTGAATAGACATGGCACAAGGCAAAAGTCATTCGAAATATCTTTGGGCCTGCCGATTCTGTGACCTTCTCGCCTAGCTGCCCATCAAGTTCTGTGGCACTTTTGATAATAACAACGCCCTTGGTACCGGTCTTCAAGCTGCTCACAAACTCCTCTCCAGCACCCGAGGACGTATCGCCGTTTCCAAACATGCCTGCCTAATGTCGGTCCAGGGGCCCTGCAGCCGAAAGAAGATCCCAGTACTAGAGTGAACAAAGACGTGCACATCTTAATCCCACAACGAATTTCTACAAGAGATTTGTTCTGGATTGCAGCGGACAACAGATTGCGATTGATCTGTTCTTACTGAACAGTCAATAGTAATCAGCGATCTGGCAATTTTATGTAAGTAAATCTATCTTCTCAACTTGTTAATATAATTACAATACAATGATTATTTTATACTAAAACTGAATTTGCAATTAATTTTTATAATTGTAATTTTTTAGAAAGATTACTTCATCGTTATATATTTGACGAGAAGAATTGGCTTTGAAGCAATGATGTAGCGTCGCGGTCTCAGCATCCATGTCTTCCACGGCAGCTTCTTTGATCGACTGATGTCCTCTGCTTGCCGAACTACCAGACACCGGTTAATTTTACTGTTATATTAATTATGTATTAATATTATGTATTAAAATTAATATGTTATTAATTAATTTTAATGTTATTAATTACGTAATTAATTATGTAATTAAAATTAATATAACTTAAATTATAACACAATATATGAGTATAATTATAGGTAATTATATTAATAGGTTATATTGCATTAATTTTTAATGTTACACATGTCTTGAAAATAAAAATTAATTTATAAAATAAAATTGTCTATTTAGCTTATTCTTTTATACTAACCCCGATGTTACAGTATCCAGTTGATATCTTAAGATTTTCCGCGGCGCACAAGATACATTTCGTGAACCTCCACCTTGTATAGTTCACTTTGACAGCTATCATACCGTTCACTACGTGTATACAGAGATGGTAGATTTTTTTTTTTTTTTTTTTTTTATTGAAATATAAGAAATATGACCATGGGAGAAACCCATATGGCCTGTTTACATGGGTTGAATCGCAGATTATGTGTTGGATATTTATATTAAGGTCGTATCACACGCACACCTCAATAGAGGTGCTCCAGTCCTAATATACTTTCATTTAAAGCTACAGGCCTATTCAAAATAGCTATCTCGAGAGGGAGTGTCGTTATGACACCCACGCAGCCGCGCGCAAAGCCCTATAAGTATTAGGAGAAAGATCCTCCTTGAAACCGAACATAAACCTTATAAACCTAATAACTCGGCTTGCCTTCCGAATCTTTATATGAAAAATTAAAAATAAAAAACACAAAGAAAGAAACGTACACTAAAAATTAAAACTTAAAATTAAGACTTAAAACTTAAACTTACAAATCTAATAAAATTACGCCCAGATAACAATGATAATCAGTTGATCGCTAACTAAATTAACCAATATTGCCTTAAAGTTGAGGCAGAGCACACCTCGATTGCATCTATTCGTACAATTCCTTCAAACATCGTAAGGTGTAATTATCTGTTAAATTCTAATAAGAGGGTCCTTGATCATATAAAGATCGGCAATGAACATATAAACTTTTCCAGAGTGAATGCCACTTCCGGTACAGGGAGCTGAAGTAAAAACTCCAACGAGAAGGGGCCATAACCGAACATTCTAGACAAAGCCTTTATCATGGTTTCACGTTGATCGTTATATTTGAAGCAAGTCCAGAAAACGTGTTCTGGAGTCTCCAACTCTCCGCAATATGGGCAGTCCGGGGAATCCACCATGAGGAATCTAAACAAACTATCATGAAGGGACGAGTGTCCACATCTCAAACGATTAATAGAAGTAAATGCCCTTCTCTTAATGATAAATTCATCAAACCATGCACTTTTAAAGTCAACGTTACTGTGATCATAGAAGAATGAAAAGAACCTAGACCCTCTGAAGATCCTTTCCTCAAAACACCATTCTATTGAATCTTTGATAGTTTCATTTTTCCATAAACGCTTTAACTCTCTATGAGGAATTTCTTTGAAATCTCCACGTGGGCCATTGCAAGCTGCCTTGGCGATCCTATCTGCTAGTTCATTCCCTTTAATGCCCACGTGCGAGGGGATCCAAACAAGATTGACATTCCAGTTCTTCTTTGCAAATTTAACCAGAAGGTTTCTTATTTCTAAGATCAAGAATGAGGTATGGGAAGGCTTAAAGCAAGAAGAGATAGCCAGTAAGTTAGAGAGTGAGTCCGAGAAAATAAAGGCTTCAGACCATTCATGTTCCTCACAGATCTGAAGGGCTTTAAGGACAGCCATTGATTCCACCGTAAAGGAGGAAAGGAAACCAAAGGAGGATGCACTGAATAATACCTCGCCAGACTGCAAAACAACCGAGAAGCCAGAGGAATTTACCTCCCTCATATTAGTAGATCCATCTGTGAAAATAGCTTGATTCGAGAGCAAGACCTGGGCAAAAATCTCATTAAATTTAGCCGCGGGAGCAGAATCTTTTTTAATTAAATCACCGGAGACCTTGTCCACTTGTAAATGGGCGAACAGAGCTTCAAAATTCTCAGGGTAGCAAATCGGGTGTTCCCTCTGAGGGATATATTCCATATACTCCTGAAAAGAGGAGAGAGCCTCTAAAAAAGGGTCGCTCATGCGTCTACCATGCACAATAGGTCTGCTGTTGCTTAAGTGTGTTAGTTTTTCCTTCAGGGGATGCGATGCGTTGGACCAAACTCTAAAAAGAAAACCCAATGCCAGATATTTGAATCTAAAATAGAGAGAGGGTTCGCGAAGTTCTGCAAGCATAACGTTAAGGGGAGTTGTACATCTGTAACCCATAACTAATCTGATTGCTCTCATCTGAATTTTGTCCACCTTCGTAGACAGGTCCCTGGAGACAGAATTCATAAGGAATCCTGCATACTCAAGTCTAGAGCGGATTAACGCCCTATACACCTTTCTAAGGACATATGGGTCAGAGCCCCACCACTTCCTACCTAAGCATTTGAGAGTTCTGATTGAGTTTGCACATCTCTTTTCTAGCTTCGACATATGAAACTTCCAATTTAGGTTTTTATGAAAGGAGACTCCTAGAAAGAGTGCCACATCAGATGGGTGAATTACAATACCAGAAACGTTCAAAGGGGTGTTCATTTTCATTCTAGTCTTATTAAAAATACAAAACTGTGTCTTTAATGGAGATAATACCAACCCAATTTCCCTTAACTTCTCCTCAATACGTTTAATGGCCTGCTCTAAATTCCTTATTCCAGTAGCCAGCGACGGGGAGGTTGAGTAAAGACAAATATCATCTGCATACTGTAGCATATGCACATCACCGTGATTCATGTTATGTATTTCAGTAACATGTATTGTGTACAATATTGGGCTCATTACACTACCCTGCGGTAGACCCCGATAAGCGAACCTTTTTTCATCCAACTCCTGAAAGCCACATGAAACCCTTCTAAAAGAGATCAAATTATAAATAAATGTTTTGCTCTGTGGGGGGAGGCCTAAAGTAGTTAACTTATCAATGAGAACATCCGGAAGGACGGAGTCATAAGCTGATTTTACATCTAAAAACGCAGCTGGGATAGCCCTTCTCTCTTCAAATCCTATCAGAATATCCGTGTATAAGATTGTTAAGTTGTCAAGACAGCTTCTCTGTCTTCTAAACCCATATTGCGAATCCGGGATAAGTTTATTCACTTCTAACCACCAAAGAAGTCTATTCGTCACTAATCTTTCCATGACTTTACATAAACATGATGAGAGTGATATAGGTCGGAATTTATTATTAGAACCTTGTTTTGGAATAAAGAAAACCAAGTAGTCTCTCCATTCTTCCGGAAAACTGCCCTCTTTGTAGAGGAGATTGTAAACTTTTAAGAGAAAAGCTTTACCTAACGGGGAAAATTTCTTAATAATTCTATAATCGATTCCATCCAGTCCAGGGCTAGAACCTAAATTTACCGATTCCAAAGCCCAATCAAGTTCCTCAGGCAGAAGGGGTAAGTCCAGGAAAGGATCCGTTCCCGGTGAACTCAAGGATTCGTCTGGTCGAGGAGTGGGAGCCCACGGGGGGAAAAGTTCGTCAATTAGGTTACGGACACTGTCAATTTTCTCAGCAGGAACTGCTCTACCTGTCTCAGTCCTATTCCATCTCGAATCAAATCTCCTCATGGTGTCCCAAACTATTTTGGGATTCGTATCTCTTTTAAGGGATTCTGCGAAATCCTTAAAAGCCTCAAGTTTAATCCTCCTTAAACCTTTCTTTGTTTCCCCACACTGATATCTGTAGGCCTCATAATCCACAGCTCTACCCGTGTCCGTAAAAATCTGTAGTTTTAACTTTCTTTCCGCTATCAATGCATCGCATTCCTCATTCCACCAAATACACGGAGGATGAGGAGGAGAGGGAGGGGGGTTCCGAGGATTCCCCGGGGTAGCCTCCCTCACTGCTTTTTCCACAATTGCTAAGAACGAAGAATACAAGACCGTGGGGCTGAGCTGATCCGACAACATTAAGATTCTAAGATCTTTGTCCATAATAGAGCTAAAACGATTCCAATCTGTGTGCTTATTGTATAATTTGGTTCGCTTACGTGGAAAAGAGGAGGGGCCCCTGTTCATTGACGACGTAATCAAAACCGGATAATGATCCGATCCCCAGGCATCATTCAAAGTCTGACATCTCAGTCTAGGAGCGATAGAAGCGTGACAGAACGCCAAATCGATGGTTGAAGGGCCGCACGAAGCGTTGCCCATGAAGGACGGAGCACCGTCACTTACTAGAACGAGTTCAGTATCCTCGATTGCCGACGACAGTAGCCTACCCGATTGACAAAGGAACGAAGACCCCCACACCGGGCTGTGAGAGTTGAAATCACCTACAAACATACATCTATTAGATCCATTATTGTTGTCAAATTGAGTGAAAAATCTTATCCACTCGTTTTCAGCAATTTGACTACTCTGAGGGGGTTTATAACAAGATATAATCCTAAGATTAAAATCGGAGAAAAAAATCTCAATTGCACATGCTTCTATTTTACCTGCACAGTCCTCCAGTACAGAAATCTCTCTGTATTTAAGGGCATGACTAACCAAAATAGCCACCCCTCCGCCTCTACCTATAACCCTATCCCGTCTCACCGTATCGAACCCTCTCAACATGAAATTGAATTGTGGTTTAAGCCATGTTTCCGAAATTGCTGCGCAATCGAATAATGTACTCTGCCTTTCCAGTTCTTGAAAACGCTGTAACAAAGAATGTGCATTCCAATGTATCAACCTAAATTTATCCATTTCAAAATACGGATTGAGAAAAACCCGGAAAGAGAAAATTAAGAAAAAGTAAAGAAATTATAAAAGAAAAGAAAAAGAAAATTTACCTACTCAGTAAAAATGTAAAAATGAAAAAGTTATTAGGATTATAAAAATGCGAAGTTTTAAGTCAAAGCAAACTGATTAAGCTAATAAAGAATCTGTAATAATAATAACAAATGGCGTTAACGCGTAAAAAGGTAAAAAGGAAAAAACTTTTGACAAAACTCTATTCTTTTAAGGTTTCCTCATGGAGCTTCATGGTTTTCTCCAGCCTAGTCACCAGTTGGTCCAGTTGCTTCATGGTAGACGCCTTTTCCATTATTTTCAAGAGTTTGGAGGAGATCTCCGGAGCCACCTTCATAAGGCTAGCAGCGAATGTTCTTCCTCTCGAACTAGATTGTAGACTTGTCGCAAAGTTTGACGTAGACTCGCCGCCCCTCGAAGGAAGTGGAGGGAAGTTTCTTGAAGAAAACACTGGCGGCCGCCGATCCTCATAGAACGGGCAATTTTTATTTTCCCTTTTCTGAACTAAGGCCCTTGCCTCCATAAAGGGAAGGTTATCAACAGCCATAGCTTTTGCAATCTCGAGGTTCTTCATAAATTTAGGGCATTTTCTATCACTGGTAGCGTGTTCTTCCTCGCAATTGATACATTTCTTTGTTTCGGAACAAGGCCTCTCCTTAGAGCTAACATGGTCCTTGCTGCCACATTGCAAACACCTGGGATTTTTTTCGCAAAATTTAGACAGATGACCAAATAGGCCGCAGTTGAAACAGAGTCGTACCGACCTTTGAAACGGTGATGTATGAACAATTGTTCTATAGATCTTTATATGGTCCGGCAATTCTTCACCCAATTTCTGGACACAGACCGCCTCCGAGTCCGACCAAATACCAGTGGTGCGATCTCTTCTTTTCAGCCTGAAGAGGTCCGAGATTAGAATATCCTGATTCTCTTTCTCGATTACAGTCTTTAGCTCAGCCAAGGATAAGTCGAGAGGAATATTTCTTATAACAAATTGACGAGTTAATTTGTACTTCGGAATGTATGTTATAAATCCTTCATCCTTAATGAACTTGTTCCTCAGAGCCATGTTAGCCGCGGCTTTTGACGGAAATGTAACCTTCCACGTGTTGAATGAAGAAGGCGCAATGCTGTCATATTTTACGTTCGCTGACATGAGTTTTTTAGCCATTGTAATCATTGAGAAGCGTTTCCTGGGCTGATCCTTTGTCGTAGGGATGCGGAACAAAACTATAAAAGGAGCTTTTGTGTAAGCCCCATACAGGGTAGTCGACTCACTTGACCCGGACATGCTGCCCTGATTCTTAATTGTTGGGATAACCTCTCCTTTCGTATTTGTCTTAACCGTACCCGTTTGAGCTTGTTTACCTGATTTCTTCGAGGCGGAAGACGTAGTACTCGAGTTGATTTGTCTTTTCTTACTGCTCTTATTATTCGCCACGGATCCTGCAGCCTCCTCCTCTTCAGTAGAAGAGGGAAGGGGACGCTTTCTTGATTCATCTTCAAACTCCATATTATCCGTCATTTCCCCCGGATAATTCTTTGACTCCGATAGAAAAGCTTGAAAGTCTTCTCTTGCGTATTCAAAAATAGGCGAAGCGGGGGACGAGGGGTTGCCCCCAGCCGACATGTCGGCTGAAAGAGGTTAACGCCCCTCTCGCAAAAAAATATTCCTCACACGCAATGAACCGAGTAGTAGCCCCACACAAAAAGACTCCCGGCAAACAGCGGACGCGCCTGTACACATACAGAGCGCCCAAAAAAGTCTCATCTATCCGTAAATTGAACTCACTCCCAATTTTAAGCGGGAGATAACTCGCCACCATACGCACGCCACGATGGCGAAACCGGAAGTCCCGATGGTAGATTGCGATCTCAAAATTTCTGCGCGTTCCAAAAATCATCAAAAAAAAAAGTGTTGCAACCTTTCCGTGAACGACTACACCCTGCTCTTATGCTAAGACTCCATAGACGCGGAAACGCTATGCGGCAGAGTGCGTTGACCAATCACAAATTTTGATTTTGCCGCAGGCGACTTGCGGCAGCCTTCTGATTGGTCAATGCTAAGACTCCATAGACGCGGAAACGCCGTGCGATAGAGTGCATTGACCAATCAGAAGGCTGCCGCAAGTCGCCTGCGGCAAAATCAAAATTTGTGATTGGTCAACGCACTCTGCCAGTGGCCCTAAAGTCACTAGATTACAAAATAACGTATTTAGGGGAAAAAAGCTGCCATTTTGACTCCACGCTACGCGGCCGTTTCAATTGTATATAATTGTATGTATAATCCAATTTTTTGTAGGAAAGAAAATAAAATTATAAATTATATAAAAATAATTTTTATTTATGTTTTTTTCCATTTGCTATGGCCAATTTCATCGCAAAACTTCTACTGCTATGACCAGCTGCTTTTTTTACATCACTGCTTACTTTTTTAAAGAAAAATGAATTCTTGTTACAAAATTTTTTATAAATTTATAACCAATATTTTGACACGGAGGAATAAAGTTTATCGAATATTCTTGTAAAAACATTGTTATAAAATCATTGACTTTTAATACATTAAAAAGTAAGTTAGTCTCATTTTTTCGAAATAATAGTTCGCACTTACATATATTAAATTATATATCTCCATGCTTGAAAATATTAAAATATTTTCTCTATATTCTCTTAACTTTGTATAAAAACTTAGATTATTATTGTAGCTAGAATTGTTAGAATCATTCGTAGTCACAAGAACATTAAAACAATTATTGCAATGTGTAAAATTTTTCTTTATTTTTAATAATAATGCACCTATTAAATAATATAATGCAGCTTGAACTGTATTATTTAAATCAGTTTCCTTTTCATTTTCAAGCAATGGTTGATATATATTTACATCCCATAAATTTTCATTGCTCTGCAGACATCTCTCTTCTGCAGAGGAATTTCTAGAATCTAATTGTTTTATTTCATTACAATAAGTAATAAGATCATTAGAGTCAATAACAGAATAATTACTACGATTAATATTTGCTTGATATTGTGATAAACAAACAAGTCTAAATTCTTGTTTAAATTCACGAGCGTCCGGTACAGATTTTCTTCCTCGAATTTGTGAAAATAGATTTTCTAAGGCATCTTGAGTGAACCTTCCTAATAATAAATACTTGAAATTGTGTTTCTCTAAATATTCAGCTTGCACATCTAGAGCAGTCTGAGTACAAAGTAATAAACTACTTTGAAAAGGTTTCCATCCTCCGTTCGAGACTGTAATTCCTCGAACAATCTCCAGAAAATCTCGCAGAAAATTAATATTATCTTATTGTACACATCTACTTTACAATAAGATAGTGCAAGCTTCTGATAGAGACCTGTCATGAGTTTAAACCATTTATACATAATATTCAAAAACCAGGCAGTGGTTTTATGCTCACCAGCTATATTATATTATTGGCTATATGAAACAATATAGCGGACGCGACACTTTTATTTAATAAACTCACACTTAAAGATACATTCATCTTCTCAAAATGGGATGGCGTTATAGAGCTTTCTTTAAGATATGGGCACAATTTTAATGTATCCTTTTGGTGTAAATTAAAAACTTCGCGAATAGGTGTCAGAGAAATTTCATTGGATGGTAAGTTATATTTATTTACCAGAATTTCGTCTAAATAAAATTTTTTTCCTGATGTTAATGAGCATGAAACATTTTTGTACACGTGCACAGAATCTGGCATAATGAATAATTTATCTTGATTATTGTATGGATGTTCAATATAATTATTAATTCTACAATATTTTCCAACAGTTATGTTCATAATATTCCACCAACTCCTATTCTGTGGTCCCATATCAGAAATAATTACTTTTATTACTAATCCGATATGATGTGCTTTTTGAACAATTGATATAATTTTATTATACATTTTTTCTGAATCGATTGAATTACCTGTCAATTCGTAAGCAACAGATTGTTTCTATTTTGTGGAAATACCACACAACATGAAAACAAGACAATGCGTTGCTAATTTATCAGAACTATCTAATCCCCCTAATAATAATTTCAAAACCTGGTTTTATGCTTGAACGATTTTATCTGAAATTAAATTACAAAATCATAAGCAAATAATAGATAAAAATATTTGTTAAATATAAATATGAGTACAAATATTTGCAAAAAAATATTAAAAACAAAAAACCAATAACCTAGACTATTGTACTTTACAATAGTACTTTACGTTACTAGAGCTATTGTAAGTACGGACTTAGACTTTAGGTTTGTTCGCGTCGCATACTCCAATATACACCAGAGAGCACTTGGATCACGAGTATAAGGTTGCGATTGGAGCAGATAAGTTTTTGGAGTGCGTTGGAATGAGTAGGAGCATACCAGGGGCATGCGACGCGAACAAACCTTTTTACATCTTAATTGAGATAGGACTATTCTTCTGGATCTACAAATTTAATCCAATCAGCCCAAAGCGCTTACTAAGCGCTGACTTCTGCTGAACGCAGTCAATACTTTTGCGCATGGGCACAATTTCTTGATATCCCACAAAATGCATAAAATAATAATTTTTATTTTTTCCTTAATAAATACTGTAGATAATTAGTTTTTAAAGGTGGAGCAAATTGGAACAAAAATGGAGCAAATTGTCTGTGCCTTGAGAACGTACAATTCTAATGATTGATATCCTGCAAAATGTATAAAACGATAATTTTTATTTATTTTTTAATAAATACTGCAGATAACTAGTTTTTAAAGGTGGAGCAAATTGAAACAAGAATGGAGCAAATTGTCTATGCCTTGAGAATATACATACAAATTCTAATGATTGATATCCCGCAAAATGCATAAAGTAAATTAAAGAAAAATGAAAATTTTAAAAATGGTTCTCTCGATTTCTGTTGCGCAGTCACTAAATACTTTTGCGCATGCGCACAATTTCTTGATATCCCGCAATACGCATAATGGAATTATTTATGTTTTTCTTAATAAATACTGTAGATAATTAGTTTTTAAAGGTGGAGCAAATTGAAACAAGAATGGAGCAATTTGTCTGTGCCTTGAGAATGTACAAATTCTAATGGATTTGATAATTTTGATATTTCGCAAACTGTATAAAGCAAATTAAAGAAAAATGAATAATTTAAAAAATGGCGCGCTCGATTTCTGTTGCGCAAGCGCTAAATACTTCAAACTGCATAAAGCAATTATTTACGTTTTTTTTAATAAATACTGTAGATAATTAGTTTGTAAAGGTGGAGCAAATTCAAACGAAAAGGGAGCAATTTTTCTGTACCTTGCGAATCTACAAATGGGGTTCTTCACTAACTTTGCT